GGTGAGGTGATTGAGGAGGAGGAGGGGAGGAGTGAGGTGAGATGAGGAGGAGGTGGGAGGAGGTGAGGTGGTAAGGTGAGTGAGGTGAGGTGAGTGAGTGAGGTGAGTGGAAGTGGGAGGAGGAGGTGAGTGAGGTGGGTGAGGTGAGTGGGAGGTGAGGGTGACGTGGAGGAGGTGAGGTGAGGAGTGAGGTGAGTGAGGTGGGAGGAATGAGGTGGGAGGTGAGAGGAGAGGTGAGTGAGGTGAGGTGAGGAATGAGGTGGGAGTGAGGTAAGTGAGGTGAATGAGGTGAGTGAGTGAGGGGAGTGAGGGAGGTGAGTGAGTGAGGTGAATGAGGTCAGTGAGTGAGGTGGGTGGAGGATTGAGATGAGGTGAGGAGGAGGAGGAGGAGGAGGTGAGGTGAGTGAGTGGGAGGTGAGGTGGAGGAGGTATGTGAGTGAGGTGAGGTAGGTGAGTGAGGTGGGAGGTGGAGAGTGAGGTGAGTGAGGAGGAGTGAGGAGGGTGAGGAGTGAGGTGAGGAGATGAGGGGTGCGGGGTGAGGTGAGTGAGTGAGGGAAGCAGTGGGAGGTGGAGTGAGGTGAGTGAGGTAGGTGAGTGAGGTGAGGAGGTGAGTGAGGTGGGTGGAGGTGGGGTGAGGGAGGTGAGGAGGAGGTGGGAGGGAGGAGGAGGTGGGAGGAGTGTGGTCAGGTGAGCAGCAGGAGGAGACTGAGTGAGGAGAGGACGGAGGTGAGTGGGAGGAGGTGAGTAGATGGGTGGGTGAGGTGGGTGAGGTGGGAGGAGGAGGGGTGAGTGAGAGATGGGTGGGTGAGGTGAGTGAGATGGGTGGGTGAGGTGGGTGAGGTGAGTGAGCTAAGGTGAGGAGTGAGGTGAGTGAGGTGAGGTGGGAGAGGGAGGTGGAGGTGAGGGAGGAGGTGAGGAGGTGGTGAGGAGGTGAGTGAGGTGGTGAGGTGGGAGTGAGTGAGGTCAGTGGGTGAGGAGGTGAGGTTGAGTGAGGAGAGGGAGGAGTTGAGTGGGGAGGAGGTAGGTGAGGTGGGACTGAGGAGGTGAGGTGAGTTAGGTGAGCGAGATGAGGAGGTGGGAGGAGTGATTGAGGTGAGTTAGGTGGGTGAGTGGGAGGTGAGTTAGGGAGGTGAGGTGAGGGAGGTGAGGAGGGAGGTGGGAGGTGAGGGAGGCAAGGAGGTGGTGGGAGGTGGGAGGAGGTGAGGAGGTGAGGTGAGTGGGAGGTGGGAGGAGATGAGTGGGTGAGGTGGGTGAGGTGAGTGGAGTGAGGAGAATAGTAAGGTGAGTGAGGTAAGGTGAGGAATGAGGTGAGTGAGGTGAGGTGAGGAGGTGGGAGGAGGTGGGAGGAGGGAGGTGAGGGGGTGAGGGAAGGAGTGAGGTTAGTGAGTGTGGTGAGGTGAGGAGGAGGTTAGTGGAGTGAGGGAGGAGGAGGTGAGTGAGGTGAGGAGTGAGGTGAGTGAGGTGAGGAGGTGAGGAGGAGTGGATTGAGGTGAGGTGAGTGAGATGAGTGAGGCAAGTGAGTGATTGAGGTGGGAGTGAGTGATTGAGGTGGGAGTGAGGTGAATGAGGTGAATGGGAGTGAGGTGAGTGAGTGATTGAGATGAGGTGAGGAGTGAGGTGTTGAGGGAGGAGGAGGAGGAGAGTGAGGTGAATGAGGCAGGAGGTGAGTGAGGTGGGTGGAGTGAGGTGAGTGAGGGGAATGAGGTGGGAGGTGAGTGGAAAGAGGTGAGGAGGAGGGGTGAGGTGAGGTAAGTGAGTGAGGTGGAATGAGGAGGAGGTGAGGATTGAGATGAGGTGAGTGGGTGAGGAGGGGTTAGGTGGAGTGAGGTGAGATGAGGAGGAGGTGAGTGGGAAGTGGGTGAGTGAGGTGAGTTGGGAGGAGGGAGGAGGGGTGAGTGGAGGTGAGTTGAGTGAGTGGAGTGGGAGGAGTGAGGTGAGTGAGTGATTGAGGTGAGGAGGAGGATTGAGGTGGAGGGTAAGGTGAGGAGGTGAGGGGAGTGAGTGAGGCAGAGTGAGGAGGTGAGTGAGTGGGAGGTGAGTGAGGTAAGGTGAGGAGGTGGGTGAGTGGGAGGTGGAGTGGGAGGTGAATGAGGTGAATGAGGTGGGAGGTGAGTGAGGTAGGTGAGTGAGAGGTGGGAGGTGGGAGGAGGTGAGGTGAGTGAGGTGGGTGGGAGTGGAGGGAGGAGGGAGTGAGGTGAATTGAGGAGGAGTGGGAGGGGGTAAGGTGAGTGAGGTGGGTGGGAGGTGAGTGAGGTGGGAGGAGGTGAATGAGGTGGGAGGTGAGTGGGAGGTAGGTGAGTGAGGTGAGGTGGGAGGGAGGAGGTGGAGGAGGTGAGGAGGGAGGTGGGTGAGTGAGGTGGAGGAGGGGAGTGGAGGAAATGAGGAGGTGAGGAGGTAGGTGAGGAGGTGAGGTGAGTGGGAGTGAGGTGAGTGAGGTGGGAGGTGGGGAGTGGGAGGTGAGGAGGTGAGGTGAGTGAGGTGGGTGAGTGAGGTGAATGAGGTGGGAGGTGAGTGGGAGGTAGGTGAGTGAGGGAGGGGAGGAGGAGGTGAGGAGGAGGTGAGGAGGGGTGGGTGAGTGAGGGGCAGGAGGTGAGGTGGGAGTGGAGGTGGGTGAGGAGGTGAATGAGGTGGGAGGTGAGTGAGGCAGGTGAGTGAGGTGAGGTGGGTGAGTGAGTGATGGGAGGTGAGGTGAGTGAGGTGGGTGAGTGAGGTGAGTGAGGCGAGGTGATTTGAGTGAGGGGTGAGTGAGTGAGGTGAGTGAGGAAGGTGAGGTGAAGGAGGTGAGGTAGGTGAGGTGGGTGAGGTGGGTGAGGTGGGAGGAGGAGGAGGTGAGGGAGGTGAGGGGTGGGTGATGGTGGGAGGAGGGGTGAGGTTAGTGAGTGTTGGGAGGTGGGAGGGGGAGGAAGTGAGTGATTGAGTGAAGGGGGTGGATGGGAGGCAAGGAAGGGAATGGAGCAACATTTGCAAAGTTTACTGTGAAGCTGAAACGAAAAGTGGCAAATGAGTCTCTTCACGTAAATCTACCTGAAAACATGAGCATCTGTCATAGCCAGGATAAATTTAACATGCAGAGAAATATACACACTAGAATGTTAAAGGCAGCAAAGATCCACAGTGTGATTAGAACCATGTTAAAACCAAACACAAATCGATGCAGGAAAAATGATCTGAAGGAAATGTTTCCAAAGTGTTAGCACTGGTGGTCTTCGGGCGGTTTTGAGGAATTTTCTTCTTCTTTTGATGTAACAGAAAGGAGCAGACTTATTTAAAAGAGAAACCTCACTGCAGTAAGATCGCCCCTTTCACAGGCCACTCTCAGCAAGGCAGCTGGACCATTCCAAGAGCCTATTTGTCTTGTTCCTTCTCCATTCCAGCTTTTCTCACTTTGTACGAGGTCCTTCATTTTCTGATGGATGTCTTTACCTTCTAGTACCTTCCCGTCCATTCTGTCCACTCGTCAGAGGGCTGCTGGACTCATTCACCTCAATTAACGACCACTTCCCACTCTCTCCCACCCTGACCTGGTTCATCCACCTCCCGAATCGCTCCGGCATCCTCCCTGCCACTCCCCAGGCTGGAGTCCAAGTCTGGTCCACCTCTTCCCTGCCTCTCGCCCTCAGGAGAAGGTACAAACCCTCCCATTGTGTACATTGACTTTCACATTTGCCTCCCTCCCCTTCCCTCCCTGTGTTCCACACAACCAGGTGTCCTGCCCTTCTCCTAAGCTGCAACAACAACCTCTGAATATTTGTACCACAGCCCTTATCACGTGAAACCAAAAATATCTGTTTCTTATGTGTCTTATTCCCCCAGTTAGAAACTCTCTAAAGACAGAGACCGTGTCAAACCCCCAGTCCCTAACACAATCCCTGGCACAAGCTGAATTCTCCATCAACACCGTCTCACTGAATCTGGTTTCTTTGCCACAAACTTTCCATGGTTCTTCTCTGAAGACCGTCCAAACCTTCAGCCTGACTTTTCAGAAACATCAAAAGGCTGGTTTAAACCTAGCTTTGCCACCTTAATGGCAAATGAACGCCACCCGCCCCCAAAACGGGCTCTGCCATACTGAGTGTTCACTTCTCTGGAGCATAGCTCACACATGTTCTCCCACTCCTTTTTCCTCACCGTGCCCAAAACACCCTCTCATCTTAGGGCTTCCTAATTTCCCTCTAGTTCTCCCTCAACTCCCAGCTCCAGTGCCACCTCCTCTCCAAGTCCTTCCTTCCACCCCACTCAGCTTCTGCAAATATCCGTGATCCTTTGCTGCTTCTGGAACGTCTCATGTGTCTATATCTCACTTTGCTAATTCAATGTAGGTAAGCCCCCCTCCCCGTCATGCTGCACAGGCACTTGGACCTAGGAGCTCCTCAATAAGAGCTGCTGACTGGCTGATGTAGGTCACGCGCTGCCGCGGAGGTGATTGTGCTGGGTGTGCCAGTTTTGGTTACCAGGCTGTGGATCCAAGTCTCACACAGGCCGCACCTTCAAGGGAGGGCCCCTGAACCTAAGCAGGAGAGGTTCAGTCATCCCAGTCCTCCCCCAGCTGCTCTGCCTCTGCTTCCTGATTGCCTGCCCCAGGCCACTGTGTGGACCGCCAGAGAGACCCTGCCACAGCTCGCCTAGGGACCAGGACAGACCCCAGTGGACGAAGGGCCCCGCAGCTTGCAGCCAGCGTCCTGGTGCTCAGAACAGTCCATGCATCTTACAGAACACCATGGTTTGCTGAATCTGTAGGCAAACTGTTACTATCCATGGGAAAGTATTAGGAACCAGAAAATCATATTTCTTTTCCTTCTCGCTATAAACTTTCAAAGGCTCCCCTCTGAATACCGTGTAAGGCAGTAAGTAGCCTGGTATTTGAGGCCTTACACATTTTTATTCAAATCTGTCTTTCATTAATCAGATACTGTCCAAGGCCACCCAGCCTGTACCTCTTACTCGTTTATATAGAAATGGAAAATTCCTTACTGAATGAGTGAATGAATACATGCATGCAATGGTGATTGTCTTACACTTTATATAACACGTTCTCTGGATTTACTAATAAAAAATGCTGTAGGCCTCTTCCAGCGGCTTTCCCTCATCCTGGTCTGCATTGCTGGGGCTCTGGCTGCAGCCAACACTGAAGACTGCAGGGCACCTGACGAGACCAACATCTTGTCTTCCAGAGACGAGGGTGATGTCATGAGTCACTTCTTGGTCTTTCCCCTCTCTCTGAGCATGTAGTGTCAGCCGTGGTGCCTGCCAACCCGAAGACAGGACTTGCTACTACATATGTCAGCAGTGTAAGTTACCAAGGGCGTTACCAAGGGCGAATCCCTATGGGTCCACAGCAACTGCAGTCCTTGCCTCCTCAGATGAAAGAATTCGACGGAGGGGCGTAAGGCAGAAAAAGAGACCGAGCAAGTTTCAGAGCAGGAGTGGAAGTTTAGTTAAAAGGCTTTAGAACAGGAAAGAAAGGAAAATTCCCTTGAAAGAGACCCACGCAGGCGCCTGAAGGTCCAAGAGAGAAAAGAGACCACAAGAAGACAGTAAAAAAAGAGGGTCTTTAACCTTGATCCTGGGACTTCATAGACTCGCCTCTTCCCCAGGATTCTTCCCTTACAGGGTGGGTTTCCTGCATGCGCAGTGCTCGCGGTACGCTTTGGGATGGAGCATGCGCAGTGTGTTTAGGGAGCTCCACGCAGGCCCGTCTCAGGCTTTCTTCCCTTTTCTGGTGGAGTGGTCGACAAACGTCACCATTTTTTGTCTCTTAACGCGCATGCCCAGGAAGTTGCTTCTGGCTGGGGCCTGCATTCAATTAACATTTTGATGTTAACAGGTGCGGACCATCAGGAAATGGTCTCTTCTGGTGCGGTGAAATTGTCATTTTTAGAGAGGCGATGCGATAATTGCCGATAATTGCCGAATCATCACCGAGATTTCTAGTGGGTGGTGGGGAGAGCTCTCTTCTGCCCCTTTCTTGCCTAATTACCTGTAACGCATGGGGGGGCTGGACTGGGACTTTGGAGTGAATTCAGGGAAGCTAGCCATGCGCAGCTCGGTAGACCACTGGGGATGAGACCTGGGAGTCTCTGCGCTTGCCGTCAGCCCATTGTACGCAGATCAGTGCGAGGGATCCCCACACTTCGGCTGCTACAAAACTGGGCCTTTACCTCTGCTTAACTAGAAAGAGGCCTGAGCGGGTGACTCATTCTCACTCATCAGAGCATCCTCAGTGCTCCAGCCCTGCCCCAATCTCCCTGTGTCTACTGGGACAGCCTCAACGCCAAGGGAAGGAAGAGGAAAAAACTCGAGTTTTACAAACTGAACAGAATTGAGGAGGAGGCTCCTCAAGACCGGTTCTTTCTTCCCGCACTGGCCTCTCTCACCTGCCACCATCAACTTTTACCCTCTTAGAATGTTTGCAAGCTGTTTGTCATTCCCTGGGAGCAGCTTGTCCATTGAGCTTCTACATTTGGGGCTGAGTGACAAGAAATCAGAGGGACGAAATGGGCCAGTTCCCTAATCTTACCTCCCTGCATTAAAGTGGAGAATATACGGGAGTAAATAAATGGAAAATACACAGTCATTTCTTTACCATCACAGTCAATAACGGCAGAATCACTCCAGGAGGAAATGCACTCTGGGGGACTTCCTTCATCTGAGACACCTAACCTGGGGACAGCTCGGCTCTGTGTCCCACCTCCACCACCAGAGACTCTCTGCCCACTCCCTTCTCTGTATTCTCCAAGATCTGGGTTCCTGGAGAAAGCAGAAATGTTTTCTACCTGGAGTGAATATATCTGGTGTCCTTCCAAATAGCTGCAGCCCATGCATTTTTAATAAGAAGGAAGCCCTGATGAATGTCACAAAGCCAATAAATGTGGCCACCACCATGGTGGAGATGTTGTTATCCAGCTGTCAAGTACCTGCAGTGTGCAGGGCAGAGCAGAGATTAGACATGTTGCCCACCCAATGGGCTGATGATCAAAGTGCCTGTGTGTTTCCGTAGGCATTTCCAGTTCAGTTTATATTTTAGAAGAAAATAAATACACTCAGACAACCATCTCCTGTTTTTCTTCTCCCTACCCTCCACCTTTGATAATGGAAGAAACTCTTTTCCCTTCCCCCTCCCTTTTATAATAAAACAGTTCCTTGGAGGTGTCAGTGGGGCTGCTTAGGGACAAAGGCCGTGGATCCCAACTCTGCAACTAGGAACTGGCTGATCCTTGTGACCTGGTCAACTGGGACCCAGTTGTAGCCAAACCTCTCTTCTCTCAACAGCAAGACCTGCAATTGCTCAGTTTCATCCCAGATCCCAGTGGTTCTAGCTAGACTCAGGCCAAAGACGACTTGGGCCTTTTGATGAAAGGCCTTTGGGAAATTAGCACTTTTCCACTGGATTGTTGGAGCTGCAGAAACTTGCCTACCTCTGGGATTCTGTTCAGCGCCTGACATCCTGAAGGTTTGCCTGGGCTCCTCCCAGCCCTAATCTAACCCTGAATGAGCTGGCACTGGCTGGGCAGCCTGGCCTCACCTGGGATCCCTGTTTGGCTTGGCCTTTGTCAAGGAGGCCAGGAGCCTGAGGAACTAGAGGATTAAGCAACAGCTTCCCAGGGGCGAATTCCTGCCTAGCGCCTGGTATCTGGTTTCTGAGTCAAGCATGGGTGGCTCTGTTTCTGCTGATTCCTGATTGTGGTTGCATGCTATATCCTGGTTCTCTCTTCCTCCCCAAAAGGAATTAAGTCAAGGGCCCTGAGAGCTGCGGGCCCAGATGTAGCTCTTATATGCAAACACTTCCACTTCTGAATTCTCAGAAGTTATTAAGACCCCTTAGAGCCATGCTGGGGTCCTGTTAGCTCTTCCTCTGGCCCAACTTAATTAACTTGGCCAGGTGTTATTTTAGACACCTGAAATAGGCGAGTGCTTGGTATCAGGGTGTTTTAAATTTCAGAGGGGCATGGCATGGCATGGCAAGTTTGAGGCTGGGACTTATAATGCACAAATAAGAGTCTTCTTTGTCACTCTAACAGTTTTGCTCTTTTTTTTTTTTTTTTTTTTTTTTTTTTTTTTTTTTTTTGAGACGGAGTCTTGCTCTGTCGCCCAGGCTGGAGTGCACTGGCCGGATCTCGGCTCACTGCAAGCTCCGCCTCCCGGGTTTACGCTATTCTCCTGCCTCAGCCTCCCAGGTAGCTGGGACTACAGGTGCCCGCCACCACGCCCGGCTAGTTTTTTTGTATTTTTTAGTAGAGACGGGGTTTCCAGTCTTGCTCATCTTTACTCACCATGTCTCAGATCACCCTGTGGGTGCTGGAGAGTTATGTCTGATTGTTTTTGCACACAGGTCAGAAATGTTTGAAAGATAGTCTGAATTTCTTGCCTCCTTCCCTAGAGCAAACCTAATAGCTCAGACTGCAGCAAGCTGCTGATATTCTATCTCTGTGAACTAGGAGGTGATAAGCTGAGGAATGTCTGCTCCTATCCCCATTTTTACCTGAGATCCCAGAAACTGGCATGCACCATACACCCCGGATTTGCCAGGGACAAACCTGTTTAAGCCTGTGCTGTTATACACATGAAAACACCCCCTGTTGTTCTTGAAAGTGAAAGCTGGACAATGAATTATGGAGTTGCCCTGTGTATAGAGGACATCCCATTCATTCTAGCTGTGTTCTTTCCAGACATACAGAGAGCATGTTATGGCTGGAGAAGTTAGGGCTGAGAAAGGGAAGTGACTTGTCTACACTCACATAGTGAGTCAGTAGCAGAACCATTTAAGAGAATGCAGGGGCTTTGACTAATGTGCTACTCACTCCTGACACCACCCTGGTAAAGGGAGTAGAAAGGACAGGAATAGTTCAGTTGACAACATGTGGTGGAGGAGAGAAGCCTGCATGCCTATGCATGTGAAATGACATTAGAAGGCTTCCAAAAGGGCAGGTGCAAAATAATATTGCACAGTGCAATTGATCCTTAGTGGGAGCTCAAGAGCTGTTGGTTGATGAGTGAGTTGACGAGTTACAAGTGCCCACAGGGAGAAGGGAAACATCAAGCAGGATGACCAGGGGGTGCTGCAGAGAGGAAGCAGTGAACTGCCCGCAGCTGGCTGAGCCTGAGCCTGTGATGGGGCCGAGGGTGTGCTGGCACCGTACGGGCGGAAGGACCCAGGCTACCTCTAAGTCTACTGAGGCGTTATTTACCAAGGTGAGGGTTGAGCTGGATTCTGAAAAGGAAATCTGGTAAGGAGAAAGAGGCGAGCCCAGCATGAAGGAAGGAGGTGTAGGGACAGCGGGCAGACGAGACTGCCCGGGGCAGAGGGAGATGGAAGAAAAGAAACAAAGAATGTCTGCCCAGCATCCTCATTTTTTTGGTTTTCTGGGAAAATGGTGAAACTCTTGCAAGTGGCGATTACAGAGGGCGGGAGTAGGAGAGAAACCACAGTGATTTTTTTTTCAGGACCAAAAAAAAAATGTTTTCCCCAAACTAAACAAAGTCAGATTGAGAAATTCAACATAGTACCTCAGGGACCTGGTGGCTCATTGCTACGTCTTGCCACAGGCGCCGGCCTCAGATGCTCATGGCCGCCTGGGGAGGAGACGAGGACATTTAAACTTTTCAAGATCCAAACAGTCATGGTTCTCTTTTTGCAAAATGGTTTTGTCGGCCTTCTGTAGGTAGTGGTGGTCACACCATTTGTGAACCACAGGACGACATGTGCCTGGATGTCTCTTCCCCACCTGTTACCTGCCCAGGGAGCCTCACCTGCCTCATAGGACAGCCTCATAGCCCGTGACTTCAGTGTGGTCCTCTTACACTGAAAGCCCCCAGGTGATGGCTGCTGTTGTTACCTAAAAGGTCATTTCCCTCAGATGACACCAGTGCTTTAGGATCATTAAAGAAACAAAGGAATCTTCTAATTACAAGATGAAACTCTGCCTTCAAAAAGGGAGATGCGGCCAAATTCTTTAGGAAAAACTGGAGCTGGGGCCTGGGTGGTCTTGCTGGTATTCCTTCTTTTGTGATTAAATGAAGCCATTCATTTCAGAGCTGCCTTAAAAAAATGTAGGCGTCATTCAACCTTCTTCAGCAAATTATAGTGATTTTAAATGAACAAAAAAGTCGGTGGCCCTATTCACATCCCCACCTCTCCCCGCGTCAGAAATCATGTATCTGATGATGGAAATTATCCACAGCCTGAAAAGAAAAAATCATGGCAACTTCTCAGTGGCACATCGTACTTGCATATTTCTATTTATGTGAAATTCTTATTCTCAACCATCTGATTTTTGTTAACCTTAGGGATGTAAATCTAGTCAGGTCTTGTGCCTGCAGACCCCTTTAATTAGTGTGATAACTCAAATTGTTTTCAAATTGAGGTGGCTGTGCTTCTGATTCTTATCTGTGGAGCCAGAAGCCTTGGGGCCACCTGCACAGCCCCATTGGCTGAGATTTTATCTGCACGCACTGCCCTTTCTCACAGGACTCTGCTGGCCAGCAGCTGAACTCTGAAGCTTCTCCAACCTCAGATGGAAATCTGAGTTCTTGTCCAGCCCAGACTGCTGGGGGATCTCAGCAGCCCACCTCGGCACACAGGAGGAGTGGGTGCTGAGCTGGCACAGCAACTCTATCCTCCTGTCCTCACCCTGGGATTTCTGATTTGCTGCAGGGTGTGGGGGAACCCAGCTCCCACCTCTGCTAGCTGTGCACAGTGGAGAGGATGTCACTGTCTCAGACAAGAATGACGGGCTGGCCCACAGTCTCTGCACCTCTCAAGTGGTCCCTGGAGGCAGCCCAGGTCCCTGGCTACGATCCTGGGATCTACGTAGTCACTGGTGCCAATGTCCATGCTAATGACTCTAGTGGCCACCTCTGTCCAGGCGAGGGCTGAACCCCGGCACCAACATAACTTTTTCCAAGCAGCCTAGATTAGGCAATTGAAAGAAACAAAAACAACCGTGAGGTAAAGGGAACTTCAGCATAATCCTAGTTTTTATGACATACATAGAGGGTGGGGGTACCCACCCCACCAAACCAAAAGGATTCATGATGCAGTGCAAAGTGCCATGTGCCTTCACAAAGAGAAGGGTCATGTCAATGTCAACTCCTACAGCGATTCAACTGTACAGAGACAAATGGTGTTTTAAAAATTCCATTTTATTCATTGGTAGTTTTTCCCTTTTTAACAAAATTGTCTATATTTAAGGCATACAACATGATGTTTTGACACACATATACAGAGTGAAATCGTTACTACAGTCAAGCAAATTAACATATTCATCATCTCGCATAGTTATTTTGTGTGTGTGTATGATAAGAACACCTAAAATCTACTCTCTTCACAAATTTCCAGTATACAATATAATATTTCTAACTATCCTGTACACTATGCCTTTAGATTTATTTATCGTATATTTGCACCCTTCGACCTCTCCCCATTTCTCCCTCTCCCATCCCCAGTAACAGCCATTCTACTGTCTCTTTTCTACTTATTTAACTTCTCTTTTAGATTCACATATAAGATGAATCACAGTATTTTTCTCTCTGTGGCTGGCTTATTTCACTTAACATAATGTCCTCCAGGTTCATGCATGTTGTCAAAAATGGCAGCATCTCCTTTTTAAAGGCGGTATAATATTCCACTATATATGTGTGTGTGTGCGTGTGTGTGTGTGTGTGCATAAAAGCATACTGATTAAGGAAATTGTTTAAGCCATACTGGTCTGTGGTCTGAGTTAGACCGTGATTGTGTCCTTTCCTTTGGCTGACCTTTATAATCCCTCAATAAGCTGTGCTAACACAGGGAAGCTGTGTTTCCCAAATCCCTGTGATGAACAGTTTCTTTATCCATTCATCAGTTGATGACCACTTAGGTTGTTTCCATATCTTGGCTATTGTGAATAATACTGCAATGGACATGGGAGAACAGGTATCTCTGTAAGGTACTGATTTAATTTCCTTTGGGCATATATCCAGCAGAGAGATTGCTGAGTCATATGATAGGTAGCTCTATTTTTAGTTTTTTTGAGAAACCCCTGCAATTTTTTCCATAACGACTGTCCCAATTTATATTCCTACAAACAATGTATAAGGATTCCCTTTTCTCCACACCCTCTCCAACATTTGTTGCCTCTTCTTTTTGATAATAGTCATCTTGATGGATGTCAGGTGATATCACATTGAGGGTCTGGTTTGCATTACTCGGATAATTAGCGATGCTGAGCACCTTTTCATGCACCTGTTGGCCATTTTTATGTCTTCTTTGGAGAAATGTCTGTTCAGGTGTTTTGCCCATGTTTTAACTGGGTTATTCTTCTTGTTGCTTTTGAGTTGTGTGAGTTCCTTATATATTTTGTATATTAACCCTGTATCAAATCTCATGTGGTGCAAAAGGAATTGTGGTTTTTGCCATTAAAAGTAATGGCAGAAACCACCATTAATGCCATTAAAAGTAATGGCAAAAACCGCAGTAGTGAATATATGGTACACAAATATTTTCTCACAATCCATAGTCTCTATTCTTTTCATTTGGTTGACTGTTTTCCTTGCTGTGTGGAAAATTTTTAATTTGATATAGTCCCACCTATTTATTTTTGCTTTTGTTGCCTGAGGTTTTGATGTAATATTCAAAAAAATCATTGCCAAGGTCAATGTCAAGGAGCTTTCCCCCTATTTTCTTCTAAGAGTTTTATGGTTTCAGGTGTTAGATCTTTAATCTATTTTAAGTTGATTTTTGTGTCTGTTGTAAGATGGGGTCTAATTTCATTCATTTTCATGTGGATATCCTGCATTCCCAATACCATTTACTGAAGAGGCTGATTTCTCCGTTGTACCTTCTTGGTGCTCTTGTCAAAAATTAGTTGATTGTATATGCTTGGGTTTATTTCTGGACTGTCTATTCTGTTCTGTTGGTTTATGTGTCTGTTTTTATGTCAATACCATACTGTTTTGATTACTATAGATTTGTAGTAAAATATAAAAATCACCAAGTATGATGCCTTCAACTTTGTTTTTCTTTCTTAATAAGTTTGGCTATTGGGGTCTTCTGTGATTCCATACAGATTTTAGAACTGATTTCTCCAGTTCTGTAAAAAATGCCATTGGAATACTGACAAGGATGGCTTTGAATCTTCATACTGCTTTGTGTACTATGAACATTTTAACAATATTAATTCTTTCAGTCCATGAATATGGGATCTTTTTCCGTTATTTGTGTCATTTTAAATTTTTTTATCAATGTTTTATAATTTTCAGTGTGCAGGTCTTTCAGCTATTTGGTTAAATTTATTCCTAATTATTTTATTCTTTTTAATGTTATTAGTGAAATTGTTTTCTTTATTTTTTATTTTTTGGATAAGTCTTTATTGTTGTGAAGAAAGGTATTGATTTTTGTACGTTGATTTTGTATTCTCCAACTTTACTGAATTCGTTTATTAGTTTAAACAGGTTTTTTTTTGGTGTGTTTGAAGTTGTTAGGGTTTTCTACATATAGGATCATGTCACCGGTAAACAGGGATAATTTTACTTCTTTTCTGATTTGGATGCCCTTCATATTTTTTTCTTATCTGACTGCTCTGGCTAGTACTTTCAATACTATGTTGAACAGAAGTGGCAAAAATAGGCATCCTTGCCTTGTACTGGATCTTAGAGGAAAAGCTTTCCATTTTTCGCACTGCTTATGTTGCTGTCTCTGGGATTTTCATAAATGGCCTTTATTATGTTGAGGAAATTTCCTTCTATACCTAAAGCGTTGAGACTTTTTAATCAAGAAAGAATGTTGCACATTGTCAAATGCTTTTTCTGCATCTATTGAGGTGAACATGAAAAATCTTGAAGAGCACTTTGTGAAAGTGACTTACAGAGTGGTTGTGCCTAGAGCACTGACTCAAAAAATGATCAAGTGGTAGCTGGGCGCTGTGGCTCAGGCCTGTAATTCTAGCACTTTGAGAGGCTGAGGCAGCAGATCACCTAAGGTCAGGAGTTTGAGACCAGCCTGCCTAAAATGGCAAAACTCTCTACTGAAAATACAAAAAAATTAGACGGGTGTGGTGGTGGGCACCTGTAATCCCAGCAAATTGGGAGGCTGAGGCAGGAGAATTGCTTGAACTCGGGAGCCGGAGGTTGCAGTGAGCTGAGAATGTGCTATTGCACTCCAGCCTGGGCAACAGAGCAAGACGCTGTCTCAAAAAAAAAAAAAATCAAGTGGGCAAGAATTGCCAAATATGCATAAGGAAAATTATCTCAGAGAGGCTGGGGGTGGGGGTGGGTGGACAGATCAGCTTAACCTCTGAGGTAGGGCATGTATATGCTTGTAGTAAGAAGTTATATAAAGGGCCTTCTCTTTGTAGGAACAGTAGCTTCTGCCCTAATTATAGGTCATTGTCATCATCTACCCAAAGTGGTAAGCATTAGACACTTGATGAGTGAGGATCAGGTGAAAGTAGTAAGTGCTGCTTGTAAGAGGTGAAAAGAAGGGCTATTCAACAAATAGTGTTGGAACCAGTGGCTAGCCACTTAAAAAAAAAAAAAGAAAATTAAGCTCGTTCTTTTTTTTTTTTTTTTTTTTTGAGACGGAGTCTTGCTCTATCGCCCAGGCTGGAGTGCAGTGGCGCGATCTTGGCTTAGCAAGCTCCACCTCCGGGGTTCACGCCATTCTCCTGCCTCAGCCTCCCGAGTAGCTGGGACTACAAGCGCCCGCCACCATGCCCGGCTAATTTTTTGAATTTTTTTTTTTAGTAGAGACGGGGTTTCACCGTGTTAGCCAGGATCCATCTCCTGACCTGGTGATCCGTCCGCCTCGGCCTCCCAAAGTGCTGGGATTACAGGTGTGAGCCACCGCGCCTGGCCTAAGCTCATTCTTACCATACCCTTTCCCCCAATAAATTCCACGTGGATAAAAAACTTAAAGGTAATGAAACCCTAAGATTTGAAAAATCCTGAGTGTGTTTATTGATGATCTCTGTATAGCGAAGCCCTTTCTGGTGTAGAAGCCACAGATTTAAAAATTACAAATTTAATATCATAAAAGTATACATACTTTTGTATGACAAAATTACTTTTAAAAATGTGATAATCAGGGCAAATACTTGCAACATACATGAGAAACACAGGGTTAATTTTCTTAAATTATAAAAAGCTGGTACAAACCAATAACAAAAAGCTGGCAAGAATCAATAAATTAAAAATTGGGCAAAGAATATGAATGGACAGTTTATAAGAAAAGTCACACAAATGTGTGCTAATCACATTCACTTGACATGAAGAATGCATATCCAAATCATAACAGGATACCATTGTTCACCTAATTGGCAAAGACTGTGAAGTTTTTAAAATAATTAGTGCCTGTGAAGAAATGTGGAGAAAGGAACTCACAAATATTGTTATGGGGACTGTTAACTGGGGTCATGTTGCTAATATTAATAGACTCATCTGAGAGCAATTTAACAATATCAACTGTAATTTTCAATGTATGCTCCCTTTGCTCTAGGAATTCCACTGCTTGAATTTAGACTACTACTGCCTTGAAAAAATTATACCAAAATATGTAGGACAAGGATGTACATTACAGCATTGCTTATAATAGTGGAAACAACTGGAATTTACCTAAATATCCATCAGCTGAGACTACTTAGACAACAGAACTTTATGAAGCAGGTTTTAAAAAGGTGAAAAGTTGATGGGTAGAGTTTGCATATAAAGGATTTTTAATTTTAATAAGTAGAAAATAAAGAAGCAAGGGCAACATATTTAACAATATCTGACAAAGTTTTTAAATTGTGTAAAACTTTTGGGCACATTCCCCAATGTATTTATTTATTTATAGAACATATACATGTATATGTACATAAAGAGATAGAAAAATAGAGCAAAAGGGGTGAATTAAAACAAAGAAATACAAGCTCTACTATATTTTTATACCCCTGAATTGTTTTAGAGACTTTCTTGGATGTGTGCACCTACTCTACATTAGAGTGGTATGAGTATATCATTATGGAAATTTAAAACTTTGTCTGCAAATTCTTTGACACTTCTTCCATTGGGAGATGAAATCCCCTTCACACTGGGCAAGTTTTGTGGTTGTTTTGACCAATAGGGGAGGAGAGAAATGATAATATATGATACTGAGTCTAGGCTATAAAAAGTGATGCATCTTCTGCTTTGTTGCTAGGATACTTGTTCTTAAGCCTTTAGTGGCTAAGTGGGCAGCCTGAGATCACCATGCTATGAGGAAGCCCAAACTAACACAAGTGGAAAGATGATGGGGAGAGAGATGTGCCCAGGTGCTCCAGCTTTAGTCTCTGTCTGCCCCTGCACAAGCAATACCAGGCCAGCCTGCTGAGCTCTTTCCACATTCCCGACCCACAGAAACCAGGACTGAGGAGAAACACTTGCTACTGTTTTAGACCACTATGTTTGGGGGTGATTTGTTATGTAGCAATAAATAATAGAAATAACCATGATCCCAAATTTTTGTGCACACTCGTGTGTGTGTGTGTGTGTGTGGTGTTGTGTACACAATTGGCCCTTGAACAACATGGGTTTGAACTGTGCCGGTCCACTATACACAGATTTTCTTCTACCTCTGCTACCCCTGAGACAGCAAGACCAGTCCCTCCTCTTCCTCCCCACTCCTCAGCCTACTCAACATGAACACAATGGGGATGAGGACCTTTAGGATGATCTACTTCCACTTGACACATAGTAAGTGTATTTTCTCTTCCTTATGATTTTCTTAATATTTTATTTTCTCTAGCTTACTTTTTTCTAAGAATACAGCATCTAATACATATAACGTACAAAATAGGTGTTGCTTCACTGTGTTATTGGTAAGGCTTCTGATCAACAATAGGCTTTTGGTAGTTATGTTTTAGGGGAGTCAAGAGTTATATGCAGATTTTCAACTGTGTTGGGGGATCGGTGCCCCTAACCCTCATGTTGCTCTAGAGTCAACTGTATATATATATGTGTACACACACACACACACACACAATATTTTTATATATGCAAATGTACATCCACATTTGCTGTGTTTTGCATAATTTTGAGGCAATAGAGAACAGAAGGAACTGCTGAGAATGGTTATTTTTGAGTGGTGGACTGGAAGGCAGGGAAGCTGTGATAGTTAATTTTAGGTCTTAACTGGATTAAGGAATACCTAGAGAGCTGGTAAAGCCTCAAATCTGGGTGTGTCTGTGAGGGTGTTTCCAGTGGAGACTGGCATGTGAGTCAGTGGACCGAGTGGGAAAGATCTGCCCTCAGTGTAGGTGGGCACCATCCAATCAGCTGGGGGCCCATAGAGAACCACAAGGCAGAGGAAAGGATAATTCTTTCTTTCTCTCTCCTGCACCTGGAACACCCTGCTTCTGTTGCCCTTGGATATCAGAACTCCAGGCTTTTCAGCATTTAGAGTCCAGGACACCCTGGGCTCTCAGGCCTTTGGCCTCAGACTGAGAGTTGCACCATTGGTTTCTCTGGTTCTGAGGCTTTTGGACTGAGCCACACTACGGGCATGCAGTTTGTGGGCAGCTTGTCGTGGGACTTCTCTGCCTCCATAATCACATAAGCCAATTCCCCTAATAATCCTCTCCTGTCTGTCTATCTATCTATCCATCATCTATCTATGTATCTATCTATCTATCTATCTATCTATCTATCTATCCATCCATCCATCTATCTCGTATTAGTTTTGTCTCTCTGGAGAACTCTGACTAATACTAAGATCATCTTTGTTAGAAATGGAATGTTAATGCTCTATTGTTGCTGCATGATCTATAATTTTTTTCTTGTGTATCTTTTAAAATCTTTACCTGGCTTGGGAGGAAACCATCCTTTTGTCTGCTCATATTAGCTTTTCTAAAGTCTGGAACCACGAAGTTTCTGCACAGTACCAAGCTGGACTGAACAACAGTAATGTGCTTAACGTTATCCAAAACTGATTCTAGTTATCAATTGCGCAGTCCTTGGAGTCACATTTGAAGGTTCACATCCTGGCTGCATCATTTCCTATCCTCTCTAAACCTCAGGTTCTTCTTCTGTAAAATACAAATAATATCAGTAGCTACCTATATTAGTTATCTATTGCTGTGTGATAAATTACCCCAAAACTTAGCAGCTTGAACCAATAAACATGTATTAGCTACAACTTCAGTGGTTTATGAAGCCAGGCATGACTCAGTCAGGAGCTTCTGGCTCAAAGTATCTCATGAGGTTGCAATCCAACTACTGTCTGAGGCTGCAGTCCCATCTGAAGGTGTGACTGGGGCAGGATCCTCTTCCAAGTCCATGCATGTGGTTGCCAATAGGATTCCATCCAACAGAGTCTGTTGGACTGAGGGTTCCACTTCCTCACTGGCTGTTGGCTGGGGGTCTCCCTCAGTGCTTTGTCACATAGACCTCTCTACAGGGTGGCTCATGGCATGGCAGCTGGAGCACCAAAGACAGAAGTCACAGACTTTTTACAATCTGATCTTGAAGGGGACATCCTATTACTTCGACATACTCTACTCATTCAAGGCAAGTATATGAATCCAGTCTGCACTCAAGGAGAAGAGATTACACAAGGAAGTGAATGCCAGGAGGTGAGAATCAACAGGGGCCATCGCAGAGGCAGCCTACAAAAGACCTCATAGAGTGGTTGTGAGCATTAAATGAATTAATGTCAGTGTTTAAATCATAGTATCGCTCAACAAATGGAAGGTCTTATTAATATTATAGATATCTGTCCATGTTTAACGTTAAATATCAAGTGTTCTTTTCTTTTCTTTTCTTTTCTTTTCTTTTTTTTTTTTTGAGACAGAGTCGTGCTCTGTCACCCAGGCTAGAGTGCAGTGGTGTGATCTCCACTCACCGCAACCTCCACTACCTGGGCTCAAGTGATTCTCCTGTCTCAGCCTCCTGAGTAGCTGGGACTACAGGCACATGCCACCATGCCTGGCTAATTTTTGTATTTTTAGTAGAGACAGGGTTTTGCCATGTTGGCCAGGCTGGTCTTGAACTCCTGACCTCAAGTGATCCACCTGGCTCAGCCTCCCAAGGTGCTGGGATTACAGGCGTGAGTCACCTTAAGTGCTCTTTTCCTGCAACTAATTTATGGTGAGATTTCAGTGAGGCCCTTTGGCCAGAAATGTACTAATTTATCCACCTAGGTGTTTTCTCAGACTCCCCAAGGCAACACTGACTTAGGAGCAGCTCCTGCCAAGCAGTGATGCGGGCTGGGCCTGTCATGGCTTTAGGCCCTCTCAGTACAGCTCATCGAGCAGTCACTGAGTCTGTATTAGTGCCTATAACAAGATGGGAACCAAGGTAGTAACTAAGGACCTAGCAGTGAACCAGGCATGTGTAATTTCTGCCTTTACAGGGCATGCAAGTTACTGGAGGGGGTTCAGACAGAGAAAAGACAACTTCAGCCATTCCTGGGCGCTCTTAAATACTGATATCCAGAAAGGCATAAACCTAAATGATTACTCTTCTCTTACTACCTCAATATTTGAGGGTAAATGAGGAGGTTTATTATTGTTAATTATTTAATTTCAGAAATACATAATTCATTTAATTAAAATCTATTTAATACCTAAAATGTTATTTTTATGAAATTTACTAACACCAAGTGTGCCCTCACTCTGGTGGAGGCAGGAAACTAAACTGCTTGCCACCGTCATGAGATCAGGCTCACAATGTGGTGATACTCTGGTTTCCTAGGAGACTTAGCCCTGGCACAGGCACACAGCTGGACACATGCAAATAATTGCTATCCTCGCCAGGTGTTCAGCTGCTCTTCGTACAAGCATCCCTACAGTCTCAAAAAGTATATATTCGTGCATTCAACAACTGTTTTATGAACAATAAGCAAATGCTATATTGGGGTACTCTTTGGATCCCACCTATTTCCAGATTTCAAGGATTGCATTCTCTCCATTCATTGTCCTCCAACACAGCTTTTGAGACTATGAATTGGGGTCTCCCAATCATAGGCATGCCAGCACAGCATAAGGTAGAGAGCAGAACAGGAGCCATCAGAGTGGACTTCGAGTCAATCACAGAAACAACAGCAATAAGCCACAAACACTCAACAAGCGGGGAAAAGGGGCAAGGGAATACAGTTATAAAGCACAAAAGTTCTCCAAACATTTTAAACATTTTCTTCTCACTCTTACAATTCCCACTTTCTGTGTAGGAAAACAAAGAAAAAGAAAGTGACTTATACGAGGTCCTCACTCCTCCAGAGGGAGCTGAGCCAGAGTCTTTATGGAATGAGAAAGGAGAGAATTCATAATTAAAGAAACAGCAAACAAACCTCAGGACAAATGTTACCCCTTATCTTACCTAAACTCTACAGTATTATAATTTACTCAGTCAATCAATAAGTACTTTTTAGCATCTACTCTATACCAGGTACTATTCTAAGCTCAAGTTTTATCACGGTGCTCCAGTTTTCTCCTTGTAATATTTACATTCAGTAAACATTTACCACTAAACCTCCTGGCGTGCAGAGCTATAATCTGTAACCTATTGTACACTTCTGAAAAATGTTAACAGAACCTTAGTTGGCAAGATCAAGAGCTCATTAAAAATGGGGTTTAGAGAGTAAAAATTTAAAATGATACTATGAGTAATTACACACATATATATGTAAAAATATATACATAAACCAAATATTCAGGAAGATACCAATTCTGAAACAAGCTCTGTCTATATTAAAGAACTCCTCTGCTGGAAATGTTTTCTCCTTAATCTCCTTCAGATATTTAGTATATATCTGTGATATCATGATTTTCTAGAGCATATTCTCCAACAAATGTCATGTTACATAAGCTATGTGTTCTTTCATGTTTAGAAACTAGCCCTTACTGTGAAGTATAACATCTTCTTGCACTCACATCCTCCCTTGTTTTATCTGTGCAAATCTCAGCAAAATCTTGTGTAACTGTATTAGTCAGCTTCACTGCATAACAAACAATCCCCCAAAATCTCAGTAGTTAGATCATCAATGTATTTCCTGCTCATGATACATGTAGGCTATGAGTCTGCTATGGCTCTGTCCCATGTGTTTCATCATCCCAGGATACAGCTGAAGGAGCAGCTCCTATCTGGAAAATACTTTTCTCTTGGAAGAGGACAGAAGAGCAAGAGACCAAGTGGAACCACACGATCACATTTAAAGCTTCTGCTCCTAAGTGGCATGTACCTTGTCTACTCATATGTCATTGGTGGATGAAAATCACATGACCAAGTCTGATAGGGACAGGGAAGTACACTTACCTATAAGTGGTCTAAGGCAGGGATGTATAATCCTTTTAAAGGAGAAAGGACAAATAATTGCAAACAATACTGTAATCTACTACAGTAACCACTTGGCAATTTCCCAAAATATTGAGGAACTTAAGGGCACATTTTTCTTTTCTGGATCTACATTTCTATCCATTCATTGAAGGGTAGAACACAGGCAGTTCCTCAATCATGGCATGCATAACCTACAAGAAAGGAAAATCATCACTCTGAAGGATACTGAACTGAGCCCAACATCTGCTAAAAGATCACAGATTTTGAAATTTTAAAAAACAAATGCTAAACCTCATTATTATAACACTAGGGTTAACAAAGGATTGCCATAGTTCACTCAGCATTATCCTGGCAACTTCATTTCACTAATGTCCAATTTTGTTTTTAGTTTCCTGGGATTCAAAACCAAAAGAAGGGAAAGGAGTGGCTAACATTCATGCTAACACTTGTATAATGCTCTAAAGTTTATTTAAATAGCACTTCCACATTCACAGTAATTGCAGAAGTGATGAACACAGTTAAGAAGGACATGCTCTACTTGGGGAATTAGAATTAGAAGTAGGAGAGGCAGGATAATATTTGCTTTTATATGAGAAGTAAAATTATAGTGTTACATGTGCTTAATCATTGTAGGGACCTAAATCATTGCAGGTATCTGTTTATGCCATTTGTTGGAAAAAACTGGGACAGGATACTGTTTTCCTTCCTTTAATATTTTTAAATCACCGCCTACATGACAGGCGCTGTGAGATGAATATCTCATACTTACATATACACACGTCTATTATTTCCACGTCTCTGATTTTTCCCTGTACCCAGGGATTTACTTCTAGTCATAAAAGATGGCTTACCTTAGATTTCCTGCCATAAAGCTCCTTCCCTTTATACTAAGTCATACTTTCTACAGTTGGCTTAAGAGACACATTTTATAATGAGAAAACTAAAATGGAGTCTTTTTAAAGACATGCCCAAGACACTCATACTAACAAGATGACTACTTCACTCCTTAATTTGTGGTCCATTGAGATGACTGATTGACATGCAGATAGTTAGATAGATCAATAGATACATAGATAGCTACATGGATGAAAGATAGATGATAAAGAGAGAGACAGATGAAACATAGATGATAGAGAGAGATGAATAGTTTCTCACCCTTGGTGTACAAAGTGAGGAAGTCAAGGTGAAACAATGGCAAGCACTATGCCTCGGTCATAGTACCCACTTCAAATTGGAGAACATGGTCAAGTCAACCATCTAGGAAAGAAACAAGAGCCGTGTCCACTTTGTCATTCAAATAAATGTCCACGATGAATACTGTGCCTTCTTAAAGAACTTGGAGCTCAACATTTTGACATTTCATATAGTAGCCAGCACATTATGACCATGTGGTAGATGTTATAGTGAATTATGTCCCCCTAAATTCATATGTTGAACCCCTAATCCCACTAACCTCAGAATGGGACTCTATTTGGAGACGGGGTCTCAAAGAGGTAATTAAGTTCAAATGAGGTCATTACTGTGAGCCCGAATCCTATATGACTGGTGTTTGTTAACAAGAGGAAATTACAATACAGATGCACTCAGGGTGAAGACTGTGTAAGGTGAACTGGTGAAGGTGGCCATCTATAAGGCAAAGAGAAAGGCCTCAAGAGAAACCAACCCTGACGGCACCTTGATCTCAGACATCTAGCCTCCAGAATTGTGAGAAAATAAATTTCTATTGTTTAAGCCACTCAGTCTAGGGTACTTTGTTATAGTAGCCCTAGCAAACTAATATAGTAAATATTTAAAAAATCAGCTTCAATTTATTTGGAAAAAAAGAGACAGTATTACCAATACTTACATTTACATAGTAAGGCAGCATGGAAAATGGGTATATACTTGCTTTCGTCTGGGCCTGGGTTCAACTCACTGGCTCTACCACTTACTAGCAATGTATGTAACCTTGGACAAATTACTGAATCTCTTTGTGCCTCAGTTTGCAGATCTGTAAAATGGGGTAATTGTACTTACCTCACAAAGTTGTTAGGAGGAATAAAGGAATTAATAATGTTTGAAAGCACTTACAATAGTGCTTAACACATTGTGACCAATGCATAAATGTGAAATACAACAGTTGGAAAGTATTGTGAAATCCAGTCTATAAAAATCCTTTTAAATTCTAACAATTAAAAAAAAAATAAGTGTCGATTATTCTGATTACAGTGAGAAAATATTTATCACAGCATTCAGAGTTCCTAATCTGTTTAGTAGAGGGGTTACTGGGTTGAGTTTGCATTCTGGGGAAGAGAGAATGTGTGCTAATGACAAAGATGGTCATTACCCATGCACCCTGATGGCAGTAATTGTGAATCATTTCCGGAGAGGATTCTAACATTTGCCAAAGATTTGACACTTGCCGGCTTTCCCCGCAACATTCATTGCCATGAGAACCATGGAGCGGGTACAGAATGTGTGCTGAGAAATGTTCACAGGTGCTGTTTGCACATGACTTGCTGTAGAACGGGGGTAAACACAACTTGGTCAAACTTTAACTCAAGATAAACTTGCTGACTGTGAAGTGTACCGCATGATTGCTCAGTGTGTGATAGCAAACATAAACAGTCGGGGGAGCAGGGGCTCCCAGGGTCCGGGGAGACGTGTGTGTATCTTTCAGGAAGGCCAGCCTGGCTGCAATCTGCTCTGGTCCGGCGGACCCCCGCAGTTTACCCCTGCTTCTGGGTTGTCAATCAGAAACATCACATGGTTGACTGTGAAGGTGTTTGGGGACTTAGAGCTCCCAGCCCACTGATTTTTAATACTCATTATGGTTTCTGCTTGGAAATCCTGAAGGACTGGCAACTGCCTAGATAGCAGTTTTGACCAACAGAATCTTAAACAGAAATGACCATTCATGGAAAACGAGTTTTTAAAAAATTAAGTTAAAAAAAAAATTTAGACTCAGGGTATACTTGTGCAGGTGTGTTAGAAGTGTATATTGCATAACGCCGGGGTTTGGGCTGCTATTGAATCCATCACCCCAATAGTGAACATAGTACCCAATAGGTAGTTTTTCAGCCCTTACCCCACTCCCTTCGTCTCCCCTTCTGGAATCCCCAGTGTCTACTGTTTCTATCTTTACGTCCATGTATGCCTATTGTTTAGCTCCCACTTATAAGTGAGAACATACAACATTTGGTTTTCTGTTTCTATGTTAATTCACTTAGGATAACGGCCTCCAGCTGCATCCATATTGTTGCAAAGGACATGATTTTATTCTTTTTTTAGGGCTGCATAATATTCCATGGTGCCACAGGATATTCCATGGTACCACATTTTCTTTATCCAGCCCACCATGAATGGGTACTTAGGTTGATTCCATCCTCTTTGCTATTGTGAGTAGTGCAACAATAAACATTTGAGTGCAGGTGCCTTTTTGACAGAACGATTTCTGTTCCTTTGGGTAGTTACCCAGTAGTGGGGTTGCTGGGTCAAATGGTAGTTCTATTTTTAGTTCTTTGAGAAATCTCCATACTATTTTCCATAGGGGTTGAACTAATTTACATTCCCAATAACAGTGTATAAGCAGTCCTTTTTCTCCACATCCTTGCCAGCATCTGTAATATCTGTAACTCATTTTTTTTTTTTTTTTTTTTTTTTTTTGAGACGGAGTCTCGCTCTGTCTCCCAGGCTGGAGTGCAGTAGTGTGATCTCAGCTCACTGCAACCCCCGACTCCCAGGTTCAAGTGATTCTTCTGCCTCAGCCTCCCGAGTGGTTGGGACTACAGGCACCTGCCAACGTGCCTGGCTAATTTTTGTATTTTTAGTAGAGACGGGGTTTTACCATATTGGTCAGGCTGGTCTTGAACTCCTGACCTCATGATCCACCCACCTCGGCCTCCTGAAGTGCTGGGATTACAGGCTTGAGCCACCACGCCTGGCCTATTGACTTTTTAAAAGCCGTTCTCACTGGTGTGAGATGGTATCTCATTGTGGTTTTAGTTTGCATTTCTCTGATGATTAGTGATATTGAGTATGTTCTCATATATTTGTTGGCCACGTGCATGTATTCTTTTGAGATGTGTCTATTCATGTCTTTGCCCACTTGGAAAATGAGTTTTATAAACCAACTGGGAAAAGAGGAAAGTGTCATCAGTAGGGAGATAGCCCCTGAGATAGATTTTGGAGGATATTACTTCTCTGAGTTCAAACTTGCCTTTGATACACTGGAAACATTTTTATGAGCATAAAAATTACTAAAAGAGACTTGAAATATTTTTCTCTCATGTCAGTTCAATCCATGGAGCTATTAAAATTTTCAAAACTTCAGGGCAAGAAAGATATATATCATCTGAATGTAAGCATTTGAGTAACAAATCTCTGCCAGGGGTGGGGCGGGTAGGTTGACAATACTTCATATATATTTTTATTTACATAGAACTGAGCCGTTGCTAACCTCTCATATCTAGAAAATAGCTTAGAAACAATGAATTTTTTAAAAATAAAACAACACTAGAGAAACACTTTTCTTATACTTTTCTCAGAGAAGAACCAGCCCTCAGTTCCTGACTTGGAAAGCATTTATGTTTATTGTACACATATCCCTAACCAGTGTGAGTTTCTCCATGCCCGTAGCAATTTAGAAATAGAAAATCAGCATTAGGGAGAAAGCTTTGCATAGTCTTGCACGCTAACAAGGAGTAACTGCTGATGGCCCAAAGAAGAGAGCAACAGAAAAAAAGGTGCAAAAAACAGACAGGCACAAGAATTCCAGAAGGCACAGTCATTTGGGACCTCTCAGGTGTGCAGGCAAATATTTCTCTCTCTCTCTCTCTGTGTCTGTCTCTGTGTGTGCGTGTGTGTGTCTCTCTCTCTCTGTATGTGTCTCTCTCTGTCTGTGTCTCTGTGTGTGTATGTCTCTCTCTGTCTGTCTCTCTCTCTCTGTCTCTGTGTGTGTGTGTGTGTGTGTGTGTGTGTCTTTCTCTCTCACTTCTCTGTCTCTCTCTCCCCCCCCCCCACCATGGCTTAAACCCATTATTTTTTTTATCCAATAGCAGTGAAATCAGTTCTTTTTGTGATGATGTTAAGACCGAAAAAAGAGAAAAAAAGAGATGTTAAATAAAGTTCCTCCACTCTTTTAAGAAAGCAGGGGCAGTTGAATTACATTTTAGAAAATTTTCTACCAAAATTCTTTTCTTTTCTTCCTTCTTTCTTCCTTCCTTCCTTCCTTCCTTCCTCCCTCCCTCCCTCCCTACTTTCTTTTCTTTCTTCTTTCTTTCTTACTTTCTTTTTTTTCTTTTTCCTTCTCTCTCTCTCTCGCCTGCCTTCCTTCCTTCCTTCCTCCCTCTCTCTCCTTCCTCCCTCCCTCTCTCTCTCTCGCTTTCTTGCTTTCTTTTTCTTTCTCTCTCTCTCTCCCTCCCTCCCTTTCCTTCCTTCTTCCCTCCCTCTCTGCCCACCTCCATTCTTTCCTTCCTTCCTTCCTTCCTTCCTTCCTTCCTTCCTTCCTTCCTTC